TATTAATTATAATATTATATAAATAATTGTTAAAATTCTTAAAACGCTTGGCAATTTCTGTTTAATTGAAGGACCAATACCAAGTGGTCAATCTTTTATTTAATAAAAAAAAGAATCAATTCTTGTTTCTATGACAACTGATATTATTCCATTAAGAAGGAAACTGTATAATTGAAAAACTCTCTTTCGATAGGGTGATCATGACCGAGGCATATACAGATATAGGTACCACCATGCTTTACTATGGTAACGATACAGTTGATGGAGCTCATTTTACATTTAATTTCTTTATTCTAAACGAAATTACATCAACCAGTACTGCCAATGATGTCGTTTCAGTAATAAAGAGATGGTTTCAAAATATGCCAACGAGATTTGTAGCTAATTGGGTGGTAAGGATTATTATTGAAATATATTATTCAAGAATTATAACTCGTCATTTGAACCTTATAATTGACTCGTTAATTAAAACACTGAAACCCGAAATTCCATCTAAAAATGTTCAAAACCGCTAGTACGCGTTTTAACACCTAGAGTGTCCACAATTGAGATATGAAACACATTTTAGAATTTTCAAACGTTTTTTTTCTTTTAGTTTTAGTGTTTTATTTAGTTCTATTTTACGAACTCCATTCCATTTTCTTGTATTTTAATCGATTTTGTTACTTTCGTGAACTTTCAATTAATTTTACTCTACGTTCTACGTGGTTGTGAATCAAAAAAGCAGTTATTTATTTGCATCTCCTACATTTATCAAATTATTTATGTGTATATCGTCGTTTTCACGCTTTAGTTGGGAAATCACGATAACTTTAGAGCAGCTAGCCGTCTTGGGGTTGAAAATGTGGATGGATACAACATGTTGACAACCCTTCTGCCAGGTGTAGCTGTCACATACAACGGAGAAGAAATTGGAATGGAAGACGGAGAAGTAACATGGGAAGAAGGACAAGATCCAAGAGCTTGCAATGGGCTCGAATCAGAGTTCAACACTGAAAGCAGAGATTTTGAGAGGACTCCATTCCACTGGGATTCTACAGCTAACGCGGGATTTAGCACAGCGAATAAAACTTGGTTGCCCGTTAGTTCAAAATACAGAACAAACAATCTTGAACTACAAAGTAGAGATGGAGTAAGAAGTCATTTCCATCTCTATCAAGCTCTGATGAAATTGAGGAAAGAAAATACGTTCATTTTTGGAAATTTGAACATAGAGGCTTTAGCTCCAAACGTTTTGGCGTATACGAGGGAACTGGATGGTAACGACACCTATGTGTTTTTATTTAATAAAGGAGGTGAATCTGCTACAGTATCACTATCTTCGTTTAAATCTATCACTGGGAACGTGAAAGTAGTTCTAACCAGTACTAACTCATTGAGAAACGAAGGGTAAGATGTGTAAAATGAAACATTTTATTTTATTTTAATTTAATATGAAATTTTAACAAGTACCTAATGCCTTTACAGCTATTGATTTATATCTAAAATTATTGATATGCGAAATACGCAAAGCCTTTTATGATGTTTACTAGATTTATTACGACTTTATCATTATTTCAGGGATACTCTCTCAATAGATAACATAACTTTGGATGCTCACGAAGCAATAGTAGCAAGATCGCAATCGAATAATTTAGTACGATGGAGTATTTATAGTTTTTTGTTAATAACGTTATTTTTATTTAGGTTTTCTTAATCAAATGTTACTATAATAAATTTATTGTGTTCTGTGATTTTCGGAAAATATATAACAATGTAGTTTAGTTTTTGTTTCTTTATTTAAGTAGGTGTACCTGGCAGAGGTCTTAATAACTCTAAAAGTACAATCACCAAAGGGCTGAGGCGGTAAGGAAACTTTGGCGCGGTTATTTACCCCATTATCAAACACCTATCGCTTATTCTGTTGGGACACCTGTCTTATTAGCTCAGCAGCTGTTGTTAAAGAAGCTTCCGCGTACCGATAATGCCAGTTTTGAAGTTCGGGAAGTTGTTCAGTTTTTTTAATGCACAATCTACTACAGTCTTCAACGAATTAACCAATTTAACTTGGATTTCCTGCGAACTAGCTATTGAATAAGAATCTTCGATTGTGTCGATTATCAGGACCCGATCTAGCAATTTAGCTGTTCCGGACAAATATGTGTAATATTTACCGCCCGTTACAATGACACCTGATGTCTTGAGCATGTTATTCGACAAATTGGATAGTGCAATTTTTAATCCACCTGTTGATTGTTGCGGGTGTGTTGATGGACTAGATTTTTTCTTAAGGAACACTTAAACCCTCTTCGATAAAAATTAATTTAACGAAGCCGATATTTTAGGAAATATCTGTGGTTTTTCTTAGAATGATAGAACGAGCAATAATAACTAATGTAAATTTCAACTTTTAATAAACAACATACACTAAAACTAACACCGCAAAAATACTTAAAGATAAACTACAACGAATGAACTAAAAAGATGATTGATGCTTGAACTTAATGCTTGAACGTAATGAGCTTATTACATAGAAAAAATGCTTAAATATACAACAAAATATAGGGGGTGGAGCTAAGTTAGTGGGGTGTTTTTGACCTTAAGCTATGGTTAGTTACTACGTGACTACAATCACAAAATTGTTTGTGGATGGGAAGATCATCGACCCATCTGGTGATCAACGCGAAGGGACGTTACCTGCCGAGGAAAAACCTACATAATATGATAATAAAGTTCCTTTGTTGTAGGCACGTATTTCTAAGTTTAAACTGCGAATAACAAAATTGTTTTTTCTTTATTCAAACGATTCATCATGAATTGCGCTCCGACACCACCGACGTATGTATGTAATATTGTTGGAACTGTATAATATTGACATACGTTCATCTGCTGGAGCTTCTGAATGATTATACCAAATTTCTTGAGTGCATGAAGACATGAGACGGAATTGAGTCTTCAGCCAGAACATTATTATACTAGGAGACCCCAGAAAACTGGGTGAAACTAATGAAAAAGTAAAATTCGAATTTCTGCTTATATAGACGAGCGAATCATTTGGCGAATCCCCTACGATAAAAGAGGAGGTATTCCCCAAAAATAATATATTCCTACATACAAATTAACGGAAATAATTACTTCTCTAAACGTGGGTGGGGAATCTTTGTGAAACATAAAGCAAACGAAAAGGGTTGTCAGTTCATAAATGTAAAATCGGTAAACAATTCTAGAGAATTTCCTTATATTCTCTCAAAAATAGTAAAAATTCATTACATTTTCAATGCTAAAAATGTTGGCTCCTTTCTTATTTTTATTCCTATTTACAATAGATGCATACTAGCAGACAGAATTAAGAAAATTATAAGTATATTGATCCATTTAAGACTTTACAGTCGCTAGCTAAAATAGTGATTAAGAAAAACTATTGGTGTACTACTGTCGGTTTTCTGTACTCTTATACAGCAATATTTTCTTGTACTACCATTGGTAGATTTGATTTGCAACTGTCTTCTTTTTAGTTGAAATAATAGTAAGTACAAGACGTAGTTCTGTCTGACTCTGAGTAGAAACAATAATTAGTGGGTTATGAGGAGTGTTCGTTGAACATAATTTTAATTATTCTTTTATTGAGTTGATCCAGTGGGTGAGTGATATGTTTCAATGTACCTCTCCAAGCTTCGATACCCCAAGTGGCTATTAATTTGAAGAATGCATCGTAACCACTAAGGGTGTCGCCAAGAGGAGCAGGGGTAGCTGCCCCCTTCCCTAGTCACCCAAACCTTCTGACAAAAAATATACAAAATTCGTATGAAATAAATCGGATATAGGTAATATCGTTGTCCGTTCCTGTTTCCAAAAATCTTGACCGACTGCGACTAAAATTTTTTAATCGAGCTATTGTTTAGTAAAACATATAATATTCGTGTATCTCATGCGAGATCAACAAAAGAAAAAAATGTCGTTATTTTTAGTCACCGTAACCTACAATTCATCTTCCATCCTATTATTTGTATCGCATAATTTTTATCTTTATTATTTTAAAAAATTTTAAATTGCGTGTGCGTGTGTGCTCGCGCACGTGTATGTTACATTTACGTGTTTGAACAGGTGTTAAGTATATCTGTGCTCAAACTATAGCTAAAATGTGTATTCACCAGTCTATGTGTTACAGTTATGATAGCTGTTAAAATATATGATTAGGTTTTTTCCGATAACTCGCTTAGTTTTTGAGCTATCAAGTGCTACAAAAACCATTTTGTCAACACCTATTATAACTTTCTGTAGACTATTTTTTTAAGCTCTTACTTTTTAAAGGGTTTGAGCTGAACGAGCTTCAACAAGTTACTATTTACGACTATATCTTACTAAACATTTATCGTACAGAAAAGAAAATTTAGAAAAAAATTATAATTTCCAACTCTAAATTACTTACTAAATTTTGCGTATCCTTAATCGTATTTTAGTTATTTTGAAATGTAAAACTGCAAAAATTTGTTTTCAATTTTTTTCAAAATTAAGCCCTTCAAACCGGCCAAACTTTACGCTTACATAAATAAAGTGAGTTGTACAATGGTAACGATTGTTTTCAATTGGGGTGCTAATTAAGAGATGATTTTTACATTTTGTTACCGCCAAAAAAATAGAGACTAACTTCTTTTTTGTCATTTGCTCGATTGACGGTGTATTGTTTAATAAATGTTTTATATTATTTTTGCTATCATATCCAGAACGTTGCTGTTAACATTTGGCAACGCTAGGACTTCCCATTGCATTTTAATAAAAATATTGTTCTCTTTTCTGAGGCGATTTAACTTTGGAAGAAACTTCGCAATTAGCATACAGTGCACAACTTCCGATTAATAAGACGGTACCTCTATATGGGGGTATAAGGGAGACTTAAGAAGACACTGGTGGCTGGTGGGTGTTAGGGGTGCAGGAAACCAGGGGGGAACAAAAGTTGTGGGAGGAATAGTTACTATAGATCATCACTTATAAGCAACGTTTGTATGAGAGACTGTAATTTTGAAATTACAGCTCAGTTTTGTAACTAAAAACCGATAGCTCAAACTCAGTCAGTTATAAGCTTTAATCTTTAGTTTTTTTTTTTTGACATGAGCCTATTTCTCAGGCAAGTTCACAAAATATAGGTAAATAAAAAGGTTAGATTGATCTTCCAATAGAGCAAATTGTTTAATGCTTTACAGGTCAAAGACATGTATCCTTGAAGATTTAAAAAATTTTATCTCTCACGAGCACAATTATTTTGCTACTTTTTTTAATTTAATTTAATTGAAGATTAACAAAATAATTAAACTGATTATTTATTATCATATCCATAAAGTACAACCATTTATCAAATAGCTGTCTAGCTACGAATAGGCCCCGTGTATTGAAGGTCCTAGCCCATGTGTTGAATTATCATAAAAATTATAATAGCTCGACAGAACGTAAATCTTGAAGTGGCAAAAAAGTCAATATTAAATTCCACACAACTTAAAATTATGCGGCATTTTCGTTTAATTAACAAATAAGATAAAACACTATTGACAACCTCCGCATTTTTTGTTGTTCTTAATGTTTGTATCGTTGTATCTTCCTAACATACTGAAACAATTGTTAATAACAATAAAAGATACGGAAATTGTCAGTAGTGATCTGTATTATTTATGCATTATAAATTTTTACAAAACATACGACTCCTATTAAATAATAATAATGCAACAATACCTACTTGCTTTGTTCGAATGATGAAAATGATTGTCAAAATATATAAAAATTTCACTTGTTGTCCAAGGGGTTGTCAAAAATAACATGCACACGAAGGGGGGAAATGAGTATACAGTCTGAGAGTATTAAGTAGCAGTTCCGTATTACAGAAAAAGATGCGCAGGAAACGGTGGTAATTCATAATACATCAATAAGTGATAACCTGATTACATCAATTGTAATATTACATCGAATATTTCCATTTCGATTTTTATGTGAAATGTTTCGGATTACAATTCGAAATACAGTTGTTAATTAAAACAGAGATTCTACACTGATTTTCTGATTTTTTTAAATTTATTAAAATGACAAGAATACATGTCAGTCCTAAGACTGGTTGGATGCACCTCCACTCTTTCCTATCCTGAGCTAAACTTCGCATTTCCCTAAAACTAGAACAGCCCACATCCTTAACTATTTGCGAACAGTAATCTAATCTAGGTCTACCTCTACCCCTCCTAACTCCTGTTTCTGCCTCTAATA